TTTTTTTTGTTGTCACACCGTCAACGACGCAGGTGGTCGGAATCCGCCGTTCGGTAGACGAATCTTTTCAATTTCCAATCTTTTCAGGCCGCCACCCGCCGTATCAAACCTCCTCCTCCAAAGATTCACCTCTTCCCGGCCGGCCCCCGGCGCCGCCGCTGCCCTCCTCACTACCGGCAGCGGCGGATCCATCTTGGATACATCCACCGCCCCATCCCGATCGAAATCGATTGTCATCCTCGATCCCCTCGAAATTCTCACGGCCCTGATCATCTCTTGCCTGATTCTGCCGCCGCCGGCGGTGATCGGAAGAAGGGCTTTTCCGGGCTTATTTCGGTTGGCGATTGGGTGCTTGTGGCGGCCGCCGGCGGCGGTCGGGTTTCTCTTGACTTGGCCCATGCAGCTGACTTTTGGGGAGGAGGGTTCGCCGGCGCCGGCGTGGATTTTCCGGTGTGTGCTGAGTTTGACGTCTTTGATGGATAGGCGGCAGAACATTGGCAAGAAAATCCTCTTCGGGTTGTGAATGTTACTATGATGCCCGTATTTATCGGCCATAGCTTTTTTTTATTATTATTATTTTTTTTCCCTGATTAATTCATCTGTGTGTGTGTTGGGAGTGTGAATAATGAATATGGAATGAGGGAAAATCAAAATTTAAGTTTTTTGGTTTTAAACGGAGAGAGATGAATAGAGCCCACGTGGATATGATTGTAAGTAACTAATGACGGAATGATTCCGTCAGTGTTTGTAGATTATTCACACAACACACATAATCTATATGTGTATTCAACGAGAAAAACACTGAACCATCCTGCAACTGGATCTTAGCATTTTCTATGATTATATAAATAGACGTATATTTAATATCTCTGGTGTTGTTTAACTGTTAGACTGACATACTTTTGTTGTGTATCTCATAAAAGCATCCTCAAAAAACTCATATGATTAAGACGGAAATATAACTCATTATCAACTAAAGCAACTCACGTCTACACAAAGCCAAATAATACTAATACGATCGACCAACAATGAAAGGACGATCTGTTGATCACCCAATTGTCACGTATCGCAAATTGTCGATCCCACGACACCCGATTGCTTTGCATAATATGGACGCACTTTGACAGGCTAAACTCGTAAAGCCGTTGAAAACGATGAAACCACCGCCTAAAAACTCTAGTCTCACCGTCCCAAATTAGTCATATCTGCAAGTTTGAAGAAAAAACGTTTCGTCCTCAAAAGGCGAACTTCTACATGGCACCACGCATCTTCGCCTAGCCATCAAAGTGTCAAAAAGCCATAACTACATTTCACCTTTTTTCTTTGTATAAAGGTGGCCCTCGACACCTCATTTTAAGCAGACCAAGCAAGCAGAACAAACATCAAGGAAAACACATAGAAAAACAACAAAGGGCAAGACATATGCTTACTACTTACTAGCATACAATCATAGTTACTATTGTAACTACAACAATTTTTGCTAGTCATTTCTTAGGAGAATTCTTATCCTCGTCGATCTCTCAGTAGATCGGCGAAATCGTATGTTCTCTATTTTTTTTGTTATTTCATACCGTAATTTACTTTTTATCAGCATAAATTATAACAAACTTCCATTAAATCATCATTTACACATACTTAATCCCGTGATCTAAGGACTGTTGGCAATCGCTCGCCAGCACATCTCACACTAGAACTTGTGATATAATGTTGTTTTAGAATTTATGAAATGGTTAAGAAAGCATTAAAAATTACATCCATTATAAAGTAGGGAGATAATTGTCATAATCACCACAACATCCTATCTACACAATTAAAGCTATAATCCAGCAATATTTGAAACATTAATTAATTAACACATGAGTATTTGGTTTAATTTTCACTTGTTGAAATTTGACCAATTATGATCACTTCTTGTCTGGCTAGTAAAAAATTGGTCATATTTTAGTTCATTTGAGGTCCATATTATAAAAGGGTGTGAGAAAACTATTCTAATTAAATAAAATAATTGAATGCAAAAAGTTCCCCACTCTGCATAATAATTTCTTCTTTAGTCCTATAATAATTAAATACTTTATTTAAAATATATATATTATTTATATATATGGACCATTCTGAGAACTTGATGTATCATAGAAAATTCATGAAAGCTCCAAACATGAGGAAACTGATGAGTGTTTCTCATTTATCTTGGGCAATATTGTTTTGTCTACTTTTTTATCTTTAACTTTAGGGCAAAGGAAAATGCATCATATATTAGGCTCCATCATTTACAACAAAATTTACCATTTAGTTTATTTTGTAATGTATAATTACATTCTACAAAGTGTTCTAACAAATTCAACTTAATCTATGTAAAAAAAACAAAAAAAATGTTCGCAAATAAACTCGACTCATTTATAAACAAACTTGATTAGCTGTTCGAGCTAGGCTCGTTTAAGTCGACAAAAAGAGCTTAACTTTAGCTTTCACGAGCCAAGACGAATAGCTCGGTCCGTTTAATAGATCTAATTTCATGCTAGTAATTATTGGAATATTATTCTTCATTTCTCTTGTATTTGAATTTGAGGTTTGTGTATTGTTTTGCTATAAAATGATGCACAACAATTTATTTTTCCTCACTTTTTAAAATCAATTAACATCATGACAAAAAAGCAAGTACTTATATTACTCGAACCTTCATATTGGTCAGCATGTGGATAGCACGTGATAAAAGTGTTACTGGGACCCTTTTATCCCTTTGAAAATATGAGGAAAACTTCTCACTTTTCATATTTGTATATATATTGTATGGTATCTCACTGAGAAATTAAAAGGAAAAAAGAGAACAAGAAGATGATGACAATTTATTGATATACATATATATAATTTTATATACATAGATATATATATATGTGTATAGTGTTATACGAGACAGTCGAGCTAATCGTTAGACGAGTCGGCACATCATACTATCTTGATAAAAAATGTATACATAATTACATATGCAAGGAATAATTTGAGGATTCAATTTGAAAGTATATATATTAATTTGTTTAAACAAATATGATTGTAACAAAAGTTGCCCTAATAACATTTAATCTGCATCTTTTTGCCAGATTTTGTCTTCACAATATTCACTTTGAGGCTTTGAGCACCCAATAACACATACACACGTACAAAGTACAAACTTTAATTTGGAATTTATCAAAAGCTACCAAAATAATGTTAGAATATTGAGTGTTAATAATTGAACTAATTATATGTATTGGTTCTTTTGTTTTTAATGGTTAGTCCAACCATT